CCACCATAACGAGGAAGATGCTCACGGCTCTGCTGAATGGATCGAAAGATGTGATGATGTGTCGGCTACAAGTCTTTATTGAAACGAATGTAAGTAATCAATTCAACATTTCCAATACATTTCATCAATTTGCAATACATGGCACAGTCAAATACGTCAAATGAATTTATAATTTGAGGTTATTACTAAAGTTTGTTTCGATCAAGGGATATAGCCAAAACATTAATGCTAATCACTATTTTCTTGCTTATTAGAGGAAACTAGTTAAAAGAACTGTCCTATCTGGATGCAAAATGTTCGTCGCAAATGCGCTATAAACTTGCGATTTTAATTACATTCACATTCTCGGCTCCGGTTTAATTCCAAAGTTATGCGGTTCCAAGTCCAATTGCCGTAATAACTAGCACCAAAGTTCAATTACTTACATAGTAAAAATCGTGATTCGTGATTTATACTAGTACAGCCTTCTCGAAGAGCCAATTGGCCTTCATTATGTGTGTCAATCGTGCTCACGGACGCCAGATTTGAACAGCTAAGCAATGTATTGTTCTTTGTCTTGAACACCAGGTGGCCGCCAGTGGGGTGGTGGGATATAAATGACGTTTTCATGTCATCATCCATGCACGAATGACACTAAATACCTGGCACAGAATAATCTTCACATGTTTTGGAGAGTGCACCTCAGACATAGGACTTTGGGTGTTAATTATCAGAGCTGCGAAAAGCATCACTATCTTTAAGATGGTTTATCAGTCTGATTTCTCATACAGATATGAAACACCCTATTTAACAACAGCCATGGTCTAAGATCAGGAAAAGAGTGCGTCGATACGTGGCTGAGGCCCTATCCCAGTGTGGAGACCAACTTCAAATTGAGGGAAGTCGTCTTGGCGTTACTTTTCGCAGGACATCGTCATGGACACGGTGTAAACTTTACAGTGCGCACTGAAATATGGAACGGGGTACGACGTGGCATCACCTATGTATACTTTCAGCAATCGCCAAGTGAAGTGTTGAGCTGCTGGGGCGGGTTGGTGCGGTGTTGACCACCAAATGTTCTCCTAGGCATCTAAAGATTCCTACCAGCGATGAATACCATTGGGCTAGGCTGATCCAGTGGCAGATCTAAAGCTGCTGGGGGGGGGGGGGGGGGGGGGAGTGCGGAAGCGGCGTCCACCGCATCTGGAGATAAACACCGGAATCATGTGCGTCTGAAGTGCGGTGTCTAGGCTGGTTGCAGGCTGTTCTTTGAGTCTAGATCTGCCGCTGCAGGAGGAGGGGAGTGCGACGCCTGGGTCTGCTGCTGCTAGAAGAGAGTGAATCACCCGGGTCTTCCGACATCGTCTCTGGAGTCTCCTCGCCTTCTTGCCGGACAGTGCGCCTCATAACGATCCCATGACAGGTCTGTGGGACCGGCCATAGTCGGCTGAGGGTCACGGACGTTGGCAGGTGGTGAGACGGCCAATCACGCCTGCACAACGGACGCACGTTCTGAGGCGACAGCTCGGTTTCTGCGACTCATTCAGCCGCTCGTGACAGCACCGCAGACTGAACCGCTCGTGACAGTAGCGCGGACTGCGTGACAACCCCGCAGACTGAACCGCTCGTGACAGCCCCACAGACTGAACCGCTCGTGACAGCCCCGCAGACTGCGTGACCATCCCGCAGACTGAACCGCTCTTGACAGCCCCGCAGACTGCGTGACCATCCGCAGACTGAACCGCTCGTGACAGCCCCGCAGACTGCGTGACCATCCCGCAGACTGAACCGCTCGTGACAGCCCCGCAGACTGCGTGACCATCCCGCAGACTGAACCGCTCGTGACAGCCCCGCAGACTGCGTGACCATCCCGCAGACTGAACCGCTCGTGACAGCAACGCAGACTGCGTGACCATCCCGCAGACTGAACCGCTCGTGACAGCAACGCAGACTGCGTGACCATCCCGCACACTGAACCGCTCGTGACGGTCCCGCATATTAAACATTCGCAGACTGGATGCTCCATCAGTTCTTGGCTGCCTTGACTTTGCCTGTTGCGAGCCGCCGACGAAGTAACCCCAATGACATCACACACTGAATTGTGCAGATTGTAAACAGAGCCATGGACTTAACCTCGCACACAGAGACTTGAAAGCAATTGGCATCTCACAGTTGATGCACTGTGACTCTTAACTCACTAAGGCGTGATACATATTGTTCTGCAAAATGGGCATACCAAGTCGTTATTTACACCGGCACCTAGTCATTTGTACAGACATCATGTCCACACTTCGCCCTGTATTGTTACAAGATGTGAGACAACAAACAACCAAGCAAAAGGGAATCATGGTAATGCCAATGACATGATAGCGATAAACGCATGATAGCATGGCTTAAATCATTTATTCATCCACTTCAATTCAATTCAGCTCAGCATTCATTCAAATCAATCATCATTAAATCATTCATCATGACATCAATCATCATCATTCCCTTGCACCTTCTTGCGCCAGTTTGTGACACCAAGTCATGTAATTAACGGGACGCATTTTCAGCTCAACATGCTTCAACGAGTACCTTTCTCCCTTCCAGTGTTTCCAGGTAACTCCGTGCCAAGCCGTTTTGATGGCACCTTTGGCGTACTGCCCTGTCAGAGTTACATACATGCATGACTTGTGCCACCACGCACTCTTGTACACCACTGCACAATGCTTACTCCAGCTATCGTTGTCCTGATCCTTCGTTGAGAACTTGCAGTTGTTACAATATGTCAGGGAATCCCCAGTGTTTCCTTCATACTTACCAATTTTGATTGCGTACTTCTGCTGTTCAGTGCCGATGGAGAAGGGAGTATAAGTGGAGAAGGTGGAGGCGTTGTCCCAAGCCTTCAGATCCACACGTAACTGCATCTGATCCATGCTGGTCAGCAGGCTCATGTACTCGTTGCCCAGCCAGAACTCGCTGCTGAGGTTGCCGAAGCCCCACTTGTAGCTCTGCCAGCCCATGTTGAAGTCCTGGTGGTCGGCAACGTCCGCGCGCCTCATGAGCACCGTCCAGCCGCCGCCGTCCGTCTCCATGTCGCAGAAGACGCGGATGCCGCCGCCGTTGCCGCATACGGGTGGGAAGATGGTGTAGACGCCGCTGTGCTGGTGTCGCTGCTGGACGGCGGCACAGTCGGCCGGACGCCACTCGTCAACGGTCTGGAACTGGTCCCGGAAGCTGCACCGCTCCACGATGACAGTGGTGGCGCCGCTGCCGGTCGCTACGGCGACGGGACGCGCCTCCTCCAGCAGGGTGACCAGCCGCTGCTGCGTGTCGTTGAGCTGCGCCTGCAGCTGCTGCTCCGACTGGCGGATCTCCTGGCTGATGGTGTCCGCGAGGTCGGGCGGGCTGGCGGCGGCGGTAGCGGCGGGCGCCTTCGCTGCAAGCGCGGCTTGCCTGAGCTCGGCTAGGGTCTCTGTCAGCCGACTGCTGCCCACCTCCCTGTACAGCTGCAGTACGCTGTTGTCCAGCTGCGCCAGCTGCGTGTCCACCGTGTGTGTGAGCGTCTCCAGCCTCGCCGCCATCTGGATCAGACGCTCCTCCATCCTCTGCAGGATGCTGGGCGTGCCATAGCCGCCCTCCGGCTCTGTACCGATGCTGCTCTTCAACGGGATGTCGTGGGCTCCGGTGCCGTCTGCGCACAGAACACTGCACACCAGCAGAGAGCACACGAGGAGCCGCATCTTGACTGCCGCTGCCGTTGCTGCTGTCTAACTCTGCCCTCTGCACCACCAGCTCTCATTATATACCGACAGTTTGTTGACTTCCACAGCTCAGACAGTCTGGGTTTCCGCAGACCGCTTTGTTTACAGTTCGTACCGTGTACGACACTGACACTGGTGGGCTTCCCACGACTAGGCAGACATAAACACATAGCTAGGGCCGTTCCAGGGCAGCAGACCTTTCATCTTGACATGTGAGCCAGCATGCTTGGTTTGTCGTGGCTGGTGTCGTCTTCAGAGCGTAAACATCTAGTAAGCAGGTACTCCGATGCCTGGTATTTCCAAACATAAACATGTGACGGAGGCTCAGAGAGCCGTTGGAATCTGGACTGCGTCACGAGCGTGCCGAACCCGAGCATGAGCAGCTGTGTTTACAACCGTTGGCGTCACGTCGAGAGGTCAGCGATGGTGAGATCGTGTTGATGACTCACTTGGAAGGTCCGGCCCTGCTCAGACCACAGCACAAATCATACCATAAGGATGTTGATCGACAATCTCAGACGAATTACATGCCATGTGACAACTCTTGCCGTTTCGAGGCATTCTCGCATCGAAACACATCTTTCAATAGAAGATGACAATCCATAATGGCAACGCGAGTTTAGTATATCTAAACAGTATATTCGATAAGGTGCATTTAATGTTCCTCTAAAATCAGCTACGCAATTTCGCCGTCCATCAGTTCTTCGGTAGTTTGTCCAACAACCCCGGCTTATTACCTATTTGGCATTTGGGAAGGTCAAGCGAAAGATCACTTCTGCTTGAGTTAGTTTTCTTGTTATTTCAACCCAGCCACGTGACTACGCGGCAGGTTGTTGTAACTAACGTCGCCGGACAGACCAGGCGGAAAACATTGGGAGGGCATGACATTGTATCCTTTAACTTTGGGCAGGTGTAAGTCTTGAACGTCGTGACGTAGGAAACATGTGTCAACGGGTGCCTTCTAGAAGGAAACGGTCTTGAGGGATTTTAGAGCACAGTTGCTGATTTTTACCAGGGCAGTACCGTAAAACGTAGTAGACCATGGATTTCGTCAACCGATAGCCTCTCTTTCCAAAAATCCTATTACGCCTCTAACGATGTCATAATTTAGTGGAACGTCGCAGCGAGGCGTCTCGATCATAAACATGGCAGAAGCATACTTGCTTTCCAGTCAACATCGATAGGGTTGCGATGCATCCGTAAAATATTTCTGCTAGGAGTTAATTCTGCTAGGAGTTAACATAATTCAGAGTTTAGTCTGTCACGGCTCACCTACACAAATACTATAAGTTAATATACTGAAACTACTCCAGATGTCTGAAGGAAAATGCACAAACCTCATGCAGAATGGTGCAAATCATGCTCCGTGTTATATTCATCCACAGACTGGCCTAAATACAGTGGTCACATTCAGATGTGCGGAGCATGAATAGAATGAGCACATCGGAAAAAGGATCCCACACAAACATAACCATCCTGTTTTGAGTACAGTAGTCTGCTCGTTACACTCATCCCTGTTCGTGCCGGTGTCCAGGGTCTTGGCCAGAGGCCTGCACACACCTTTTCCATTTACGTGTGGAAATAACAGAAACTTACTGCAGGCACAACACAATTTTGGCGTGTGCCAAAATTCCCCCATTTTTATTTATTGACCGGCCGGTTATCCGTAATTATATGCACCGATGCCTTCTCTTCGGGCTCTTAAGTGTTCGGAATAATTCCGGAGCATGTGTAGAGCGGCAATACCAGCTGGTGCTGGCAGAAGAGCTGTCTCCCTGATTGCACCAGTGTAAAAAACGCCAGTGTTCTATTCACTGAGTAGGGGACCAATACCCACAGTGCACGCGCGACCATAATGCTATCAGAAGAGCCGTTCCACATTTAAAGATATTGAGGCAAGCGTCAGATACTGTAAAGGCCAGAGCAACATGACCCCGTTGTTTTGAGCCTCAGCACACACTGTAGCCGCGACCGATTACAAACCGCGGGCGGCGTGTCCGCCGGCACAGCATCATCAACCCGCGCAGGGTGCCCGAATCCGGAACACGTCACAGCACGGCCGACAGTGCACGTGCGCTACACTGCCTCCCACGAACACGATGAAAAGAGGGAAAAAGCTATTCCGATAATCTCAGTTCCCAGAATACTTTGTTTGCTTCCGTCATCTCCCAGATCCACCAACACCCGAGACACTTGCACTCTCCCGACACGACGCAACCGGTGCGGCCACGAGAACACTTCGCGGATTGGATGAATCCACGGATTATGAGTAAATCCACGGGCCCGGTTGGACTGGATCAGAAATTCGCACAAAAACATGGTTTGGGACCGGACTGGAGTTCCAAATTTGCCTGCTCACGCCGATTAAGCGGATTGAAAATTAATGAAACGGAGTTTTTTGCTCCGTAGCTGCTCAATTGCTCAATGCAGACATCAGTTTTAAGAATAATATCTAGACCAAAAAATTAGGTGCATTCAATTCCAAGCAGCGCAAAAACGAGCCTCGACAATTTTTTTGTGTGTGATAAAACTGACTTGATTAGAATGAGTGACACGAAGATGTGCTGCAATCGAAAATAAGTTGTTCCATTCCTTCCACGTTCACTATTTCATATAATGATAAAATAGCCCAACTTATTATAATATACTCACCTTTGGGCTAGCTATCTCATGTTTGGCCAGTACCTCATCCAGAAGATGTTGTTTGGTCGTCCTACCAGTGATCGAGTTAAGGCATGACTCTGGGACCGTCACGCAGCACGTGCTCTCCTTCCGCTAGAAGTAGGGTGATGGTTGAATTGACTCCAAACCGTAAACACCATTGGTGCATGGGACCTTTTATCGTGTTTGCAGTCAGTATCTCTCTTGAGTGTTCTTGTGCACGAGGTGGTTGCACTCCTGGCTCAATCCAGAGTACTGAACATTTGTCCCCCTCGCTGGACGTGCAAAAATGTCCGGCGCGTGCGGCAGTGGCTAGCTGTCTAGCCTCACTAATGCATTTACTGTGAGCTTTCAGTTCGCACAAACCCAGACAGTGCCGTCGTTTTCCGCACGTGAATCAGTGGTGCTGCCCAGCTAATGTGAGCCACTGGCTCTGGAGCCCCGGCGGCGACGTTCTTCTGTAGCTGCTCCTGGACGGTTTCCTTGAAGCAGAACGGCAGCGAACGTGCTCTGTAGAATCTGGGCTGCACACTTTTGTCAACATCAGGAAGCAGCTTGATGCCCTTGAGCTCGCCCATTCCAGGCTCAAATGCCCGTTGATATATTTTTTCTTAAAACACCAACTTCAACATTTTCTACAACATCCTCTGACGTCTATTTGATTGGAATTCACGTTAATCAGTGACGACCTAGAAATGCGTTCAGTTCCCTTACACCAACCCGACATTGGACTTATCACGTTTTTAGCCCTTGTATGAAACATGCGTTCTGAATCTCCTAGGCACCGGAATGACGTCACCGGTGAAGGATCTCAGCTTGACAGAGCAGAGCCTCAGCTTGGGACGAACCCAGAGTGATAGAGCATGTATTTAACGCTAGAACCAGTACCTAACTCCATGCTCACATGCGTCTCCTGGAAGCGAACATCGCGGCGAAAAGAATCAGGGCCCATTTGCTTCATGCTTTCCGAACCTGGCCTGCTCGTGCTTGCTTTCTGCTGAGTGGGTTTTTGACGTTCACCCTCAGACAGCTGTCCCAGTCCTCTTGGTCTGACGCGTCGATGACGCTGACCTCTCGCTGCCGGCCGTCACCACAACCCTGAGGGCGCCACCCACTGGGCAGATCACCTGCCGTGTTCTTTCAATGCGTTAGGCAAGCCCTCGGAACATTTCCAACTCCAATGCAATTAAAGCATTTTTACTTTCGGAAACGGCGAACACCCATATCGTGGTAATCTCCAGTGCATCGTCATTGCAACGCCAGCAACGTGGCTCGACCGACGTCATACGGGGTCGGTTTTCACAGCCTGGATGGTTCCAGCATTCTCACAATTATAGATAGCAGGTCAGCGTCCTTGGTTGAGGCCACCATACCGAGGAAGATACTCACGGCTTTGCTGAATGAATTGATGGATGTGATGATGTGTCGGCAACATGCCTTTATTGAAACGAATGCCAGTAATAAGCTCAACAGTAGAATGCATTTAATCAATTTGGTGTACAACACATAGTCAAGGACGTCAAATATATTTCTAATTTGAAGTTATTACTCAAGTTTGTATTGATCAAGGAATGTAGACAAAACATCATTGCATCTACCTGTATATGCTTCTGTTTTTACGAGGAATAAATAGAAAGGTACTGTCTTATCTAGATGCAAAATCTTCCTCCCAAATGCACTAACGGCTCACGCTTTTACTTGCATTCACATGCTTGGTTATGCGTTATTATGACTCTCTCTGATTCTAGGTCTTATTGCCGTGATAACTAGCACCCAAGTTCAACCTTTTATGTAGTACAAAACGTGATTCGCGGTTTACGCTCGTACAGCCTGCTCTAAGAGCCAGCTAGCCTTCAATGTGTTTGCAAGTCGTGCTCACAGGCGCCAGACATGAAAGGATAAGCATGCAATTTTTTTTTTGTTGTCTTGAACGCCGCATGGCCAGTGCGGTGGCAGGATTTAAATGACGTTTCTTTGTCACCATCCATGCATGAATAAGCATGAAATAGCCTGCACAAAATAACCTCCGCATGTTTTGGAGCGTGCATCTCAGACACGGGATTTTAGTGTTAAATAGCAGGGATGTGAACTGCACCTAACGATCTTTCAATGGCTATCTCAGGTCGAAGACTGTGATGTGCAATGATGGTCCGTCTCGTTGGCCCGCTCCTACGCTTCTGCCTCGAAGTGTGAGTTGGGGCCGCCGCTTGGCGGCGGGCCGGGAGCGGGGGAGTGTTTGAGCGGCTGCTGGGAGGGGAGGGTGTCAATATCAGTGTCTGAACAATACAAGCTATTTCGGCATTATGGCGGGACTCGATGTAAAGTTGATTCCTGAGTT